CTCTGGACAGGCCTAGCGCTGGGAGCTCAGGTAACCAGTGGCAGGACCCTGGATATCAACGCCCTGGCTGCCCCCCCATGTCCCCCAACCCTCCCCAGCAATGGCAGAGAGGGCAGGTGTGAAAGGAGGGTCTTGGAAGAAGGTGGAGAGGAGAGGGCGCGCGGGCGGGCTCTGGAGCAGGCAGGTGTGGAGTCGGGGAGTGGGGGTGTAAATTCACAGCCTGACTTCGAGGAGCACCGGCCGCAAGGCCTCTTAGTGACGTCAGGCCTGAAGGTGCGGTTTTCTCATCTGTGAAATGGGGACAAGGGTCCCGTTCCTGGCGGTGGGGAGGTGCGTTCATTGTCACCAGGGCTGGGATGTGCGTGCATTGTCACCGGGGCTGGGAACGCACAGCTCCACACTAGGACCAGGCCTCACCCTCCTGTCCCCTTACCGTGAGGGACTCTTGCAGGACTCTAAAGATTGACCCAACCTCCCCCAGCCGGACAGCTGGCGATGAGAACTAGGCCCTCCTTCGCTCAGGCCTTCCCCAGGCGCTCCCTCTCCTGTCCCGGCACCTCCCTCTCTGCCTGCGTTCCTCCGCATACTCCAGGGCGCCAGGCCTTTCTCTGTCCCCGCTGTGGTCTGCTTGGAATTCTTCCGGTGTTTTCTGTTCCCTCCAGCGCCTCATGGTTTCCTTCCATCGTTCCTCCCCTCCGGGGTTAAGCCTGGGCCTCCAGTCTTTAGGCCGCCTTCCCTGAATCCTTTCAGGGCATGGGCCATCGGGGCCAGGACCCCGACCCCAGCTTTGGTGGGCCGTAGACTGCCCAAACCACACTGGTTTCTCTGGCCACCTGAGAACCGCGGAGATGGTCCTCCACAGGGCGGGGCGGAGAAGGGGCAACTGCCCAGCTTGGGCTGAGAACACCCCAGTGGCTGCCTTCTCTCTGCCCCCGGGGCCTAGAGCAGCGGCCACTTTACCGCCCCTGCTCTTTCGGCCCAGCACCCCGCACCAGGCCCTCAGGGTCACCATCTGCCGTGGTGCCTGCCTTCTCCTCCAGGAGGGCAGTCTTGCCACCATGGCGAGGGCACCTTAGAATGCAGGCTAGCGTCAGCAAGGGAACAGCCCCAGGGCAGGAGGTGCACGCGGAGGACACCTCCCTCCTCCTGGACCTCGTGCTCATGAACACAGGGACCCTAGCCAGGGGCCACCCAAAGCCGTACCAGAGAAACTGGGAGGAGGGAGGGAGCGGCAGACCCTGGCTGTGGTGGGAAGGAGCACAGCGGCTGCTTCAAAGCTGGGCACGAGTGGGACGAGGCCTTGAGTCAAGCCCCCCTTCCCCCCTCTCAAGGCAGACGCCGGTGCCTGTGGGTGCCGCCTGCCCTGAGGGAGGGACTGAGGGCCTGGAGTGGGCCTCGCCACTACTGGTCCCTGGCCTGGGGACTACATGGGCTGCGAGGTGGGGTCACTCAGGAGCCTCCCGCTGGGCCCAGCGTGTTCCGGACTGTTCTGGCTGGTGCACCCCCAGCCCTGACCAGGCTCTGGGGTTGCCCTGGTCTGCCCCAGTGGGGCAGACTCTCTAAAGAGAGTGAGGGGGCTTCTGGCTCAAGCAGAACCAAGACGGGCTGGCCTAAGGTCTCACTCAGGCTCAGCCTCACCAAACCCAGCCCCGGACTGCCCACGAGATTGACGACAGCACGACTTTACTCAGACAGGATCAGACGTTTATAAAACAAGTGGATATTCACAAACTGGGAGAAAACGCCTTCCAGCGACAGAAAATCTCTATAAAGTGCATTTTGCCTGCGACCATCTCTTCCTCGTGCTGGCGCTTGGGTGAGGATTTGGGGCATGGATCTGGGCAGCCCCCAGGGCCGCCGAGGCAGTGAGAAGCGAGGCTCACAGCCATCACGGAGCTGCAGGCCACACCCTGTCCCAACCTGCCCCTCCTCACTCGAGCAGCAGATGCCCCCACTCCCCTGGAGGTCGTCCTGGGAACGGGTCAGCGTGCTGGGGTGCTGGACAGGAAGAGGCAGGTGGCCCTGCCAAATGGTACCTTAGGGAAGGCAGCCATCACCAAACGTGCTGGGCTGAATGCCTGAGGGCGCTGCTAGGGAACACAGACCGCGGCCCCCAGACTGGCCTCGCGCTCACTCGCTCTTCCTGGCAGGGAAGCCCCGAGCCAGCGTTGTGGGGATACACCGCGGTCTGTGCCCTGCTCCCCACACAACTGCGGGACCTCCCAGCGAGGGTGGCACGCAGACAACGGCTGGACTCTAGAGGCAGCTCTCTAGCTGGGAAAACCCAAGGGCATCTCAGGAAGAAGCCTGTCAACGTGCTGGGCAGTGGCAGGAGCCGGGCCTGTCCCAGGGTCCTGGTGAGAGGACAGAGCAACGAGGGACAGGATGGGGTCAAGGGAGTGAACTGAGGCTAGGAAAGGTCCCAGGGAGGTAGAGAGGAAAAGGCCCAGAGGCCAGCTTAATTAATGTTACACATGAGGACAAAGGTCCAAACAGAACGGGCCTCTCAGCTGCACGCACGTACCAGACACACGCACACGCACACGCACACTTTGTGGCTCGAGTGCAGGCCACAGAGTGGAAGGAAGACTTGCCCCAGTTGACCACAGTCCTTTTCACTACATTGTTGTCAACACAGGCCCGTAACTGTGGAGGGGAGGTGGGAGGCATAGGCCACTCCGGGAATGTGGCTTGGCTTCTCTGGGTCAGACGGCCCACCTCCGCTTCTGGAAGGGAGAGTGTGCTGGGTGTGGTCTCTACTTGGCCTTTTGTCAAGTGCCCTGGTGGGCCTCCCCATGTCCCTCTGCCCGGAGCCCAGCTACAGGCACGGGTGACATGGCGGCTCGGATGCTGAGCAGAACCGTGCCTGGGCTGGCTTCCCCAGCTGGGTACAGGCCGTCCTCGCCGGCAGTGTGGCAACACGGTGCTGCCTGAGTGGCCAGAGGAGCCAGGTCTCCTCCACGGAGAGGCACTGAGCCCCGCCCTCAGCTTCCAGGGAAGGCAGGGAGCGTGGGGCTCCTCGTCCTCGCC